TGTCAAGTTCCTTGATATTTAAGCGTTTGATGAATTATTGCTAGCTACCGATTGAATCGATGTGTCCATAGCCAGTGGAATATGGGTGGCCACCATCCGTTGGCTGGTTGTCAACGTGCTCAATTATGTACATGCCGAAAGTGTGGACGCCAGTCGCAGTGGGATATTTTGATTCGGATGTTTGAATCGAATAGAGCAAGGTCAATTCACGGCTGTGCTAAGATGGTTCGATCTAAGCTATTCTCCTGAAGAAATTCTGTGCGACATTATTGCATGTACCTGTAAAATGGGATTTCAAAATGTAAACAATTAGTTTCTTTTACATCAAGTTCTTTCATTGCAAGTGTGAACTAATTCACACCCAAAACTTGAAGCGTCATCCATTCACTGATGAATCACTGGGAAATTTCCATCGCAATTCTTCACCGCCGATTAGCTCCGATATTGGCCATATTTTCCTTCTTCGGTAGAGTTGTTTACATACCTTCCATACTCTCCAAATCCAGTACAATTCTCCTGAAGCAGTTATGGCTGCCGAATGTGACGAACCACACGCAATATCGTGAATTGTCTTTGATCGTAGTGCTTCAATTAGCTTTAGCCGAAAGTAATTCGGTTGTTTTGACCCAATTTTCCATCTTCTTCCTCGCCTAATTAGAAAAAAATAAGCAACATTATTTGGATATTGTACAAATTCTGGTTTTTTGTCGCTTACCCCAAGTCCATCTAAAGTGAGTGCCATTGTATGTTTGTCACTCGAATTGGTCAGCGACTTTCTTCAACGGCAACGAAGAGAACATGATGGCATTTGGCCAGGATTTTTGTTAACACATGGTAATCGGTCATAGGTTATCCCAAACACGCCATCGCCGTATGCCAGCTCGCCAGCTTTACACCAACGACCGCTCAGCCGCCAACTGTATAAAGCTAGTGCGGGAGAAATAAAACACATCAATTTATACTTGGAAAAAATGAATTTAAAAACCAAGTTTTATTGTGCACGTCTGTTCCAATCCAATGTTCTCTTATGACTAACTCATATTGTGCAAATCGGCTGACAGCCCGTAACGTAACTGTCAGCTGTACTTAACTTACTTTATCTCGAATGGCAGCGCCATTCGATACACCAACGAAGCGAACATGATGGCCAAATGGTACAACGTTTTACACCATATAACCAAATGTCTCAAATCTCAAACACACCTTCTCTGCAATTTAATACTCCAACACGCTGGAGTCAACTACATCGTTCTCAATCACAGCAGCGTCGCCCTCTCCGTAGTGTTCTATTACTTCCATCACAACAAACCAATTGACTGCAGTGTTGCAATCGTCTCCGACCAGGCTCGCAACGACAATACCATCCGAAACCAATCAGAAAGTTTGTTTGATGGTGTCGATTGGCCCGTTGAAATCGTTGCCGATAATATAGACGTAACAACTGCTTATGACGTCGCAAAGTCACCTCCCTTATTCTGCGATGTAAACTTAATAAACGCAATCGCTGGCAACCAGACTCACAACGACAATGCCATACAAAACCAACCTGAAAGTCTATCAGATAATACAGATTGGCTCGATGATATCGCTACAGACCCACATTTTATAGCTGCTGTTGATAATTTAAACAACAAAAACCCGGAAGCCCCAAAAGACAAGACCAAAGAAGTCACCACAGTATCAGCGTCTACATCAACAGTAGCAGTGTCTACAGTAGCAACACCTACAATAGCAGTAGTAGCAGTCAAAAAAAGAAAAAAAATTTGATTTTTCAAAATGTAAGGAGATAATTTTCTCTTCAGACGAAGATGAAGAAATCAAAGAGAGATGTGGAAATGGCCAGCACATGATTTTACCGACAAAACAGTACAGAAAAAGTAATGTGGGCTTCACCATTTGGAAAAGCATACTGGACTCACTGACCGACGATGATTTTGCTAAGTTTCCTTATGTCAAAAGAATTAAAAATGACGATTACAAACAACTTAACAAAATCACAGCCAGTCCGCTTTTCGAAGAAATGTTTAAAAATTCTGGTAAGGATTTTCGGGTATTCGTTTCGACGGTCCAACGACATCGTATCGAGATGAACAATATAGAACCAAGAGAAATAACTGGAACAGAGTTATCAGGCGGTGAAATATTGAGGTTCCTCAAGAACTTGAAAAAGAAAAATTACGATGTCGCAAAAATGGAAAAGGACAATATGTTCACAATTGCCAAAATTTCTCGCCGGTATTTGATCACTGGAGCTACAGCAAACATCAAAAATCGTCTACATGTGCTATGCCGTCTTATTGTATCTACCGATGACCCTGACCGATTCGCTCATTTCAACGTATCAAGGCGCAGGTGATTTACAGATACTTTGCCGACAAAATTATGGCCATAAATCAACTTAATTATGAGATCAAATAATTTCGGCGTTTCTCAATGAATGCGAATAAAAAATGACGCCAATATATGAGAAAGAAAAACCAAAGGTGGAATAGTATCATTATTCAATGGAATTTTCATTTTTTTTTATGATGATTTGGAAAAAAGGGCATGGCCTAGACTTTGCCTCCTTTACAGCGCAATCATTCATTTCTTACCAGGTGATGTCTGTCAATCAAATCTATAGTCCCGAATTTCATATAAACTTCGCATCATAAACTTGCTTGAATACACACAAATACAACATTGAGTGAAAAATAAGAAGATGGTCACTCATTTAAAAAGTATTTAAAACAAGAAGTCTTTTTTTGTAATCAAAATAAGGAAATAACATTTTTATTTCATCATGTTTTCTATAATATTCCTTGAGATTTCATAAAAACCAAAAAATTTACTATTTGTTAATCAATCAAGGGCCATTTTCTTTAGTTAAAATAAATATCGCCCTTCTAGATGGATATGGGTCAAATGTCGTTGATAGTTTCCTGAGTTCACATACTTTGAACACATATCGCACCAAGTCTGGAAATTTATCCATGAATAGTTTTTTCGTTTGCTTCAATGATAAAATTTGCCTATGTTTTTATATGGAGCACATGTTTATGCTATATTTAAGCGAAATCTCGACGGTACACGCTGAACTATGAAAATTCTTTATAAATATACTGCCAACTATCAATGACAGCAACCAATGACAGCAACAATAGAACGTATTTGTATTGCAAAATACTTCCACCTTGCAGATGGCGCCAAACCAAACGTCGTTCTAGTCATTTTTCTCATTGTTTGCTTTAAATTAGTTTTTACGTACCTGTTTCACAACGAGTTTGCTTGTTTCCATTTTGAGTAGATTATTCGGTATATTTTTTGCTAATAAGTTCGCGCGTACCAAATGTTTCGGCGGTCGGATGAGTATTTATATGACTATCGAATTGTGATCGGTTTTTGAAATCGTACGTTTTGTTACAATAATTGTTGTCGCGTTCGGCACGGCACTCCCAATTTCCTTCGCGGTTTACACCATCCACGGTATTGCTTTAGTTTTTTATGCTCACGCAAACTGCCGGGTGTTGCGTAGATTTTCCCACAGAATTCGCAATTGGGCTGTTAACTGTCGTGGATGGAGGAAATATGGGTTTCCAAACTACTTTTTCTCGTATAGCTGTTCGAATACTTTCCACATTGATGTCGTTTCATCGTGACTAATCTTTCATGATCAATGATTCTTGTGCTAGATCAGCGTTTTCCGATAGGCTTTGGTTTGGCACGATGTTGACATAAACGGGTGACATTTATCGCTATTGTTTATACTAAGTGAATAGCTTCTTTTTTCGGGCATTGCATGTTTATGTTTCGAAATCTCGCGGTCTTTTACAATTTCGAATTTTGATATTTCGGGTTTACGGTAGATTTTTGAGATTTGCGGAATGGTTTTTTAGGAGGATACAGCATAGTTTTTTGAGAGAGAGCAGTAGAGAGTTTTAGGTTGACAAAGGAGCATTTTGTATGGAAATGTGGTGTTTTGGAGGTTAAACGAATTGAATTATGGATTCATTTATGTATCTCTTCACGAGAAATTTATTGGCATTTTGTTTTGGATCATATCCATGCTTTTCTTTTTACAAGGAATCGCTGAGAGCTGAAGGCTGTTTGGCTTTACTCTTTGCGAGTAGGTGATTTTAGCGATTTGTCGCGTGGTGTGTTGCAGTCGTTGCGAAGCACATGATCGCGCAATGAGCGTGGTCCAACTCCTTTTGCATTGCAATTGGGACAGCGCCAGGTTCGATGTACTTGAAATTGTTATTATTTCAATGTAGTTTTGTTTCTATTTTTGATCCTTGTGTGCCTACCATCGTGGCAGTTGGTGGTTCTTCTTTCTCTGTGTTTTTTCCTTCCATTTCCTGGAATGAGAGGAGAAATAATACATTACTTTGAGTAGATTATGGTTCGACAACACATTTCAGTTAAGAATCATGATTGAAAATCCCCATCGCCGGCCTGACGATTTTATTTATTTTTACCTTTACCTATTTGCCTACCAGTGTCTGGGTTCTCTTTGATGATTTGTTGGCTAATAAGCGGTTTTGCTTTGGTTTTTTGTGACCGTTTGGCTATGAAAATGATGTTGTTGAATTTCACAACTGGTGCGAGTTATAATTTGACACGTACTGTGAATAATTATATTGTAAATAATGAATCAATTGCGATATGGGCCTAGGTGGCGCCATCTTAACTTTTTATTTCTGAACTTTTGAGCTTCTGAGTGAGCAAAGCATTTTAAAGTTTTGAATGGATTTTTATTGTTATCGTATATATGCAGCCAAGAACATAGCAATTTATTATTTTATTTTCATTTTATTTTTATTTTTGTTTCATTTTATTTTTATTTTATTTATGATTTTGATTATTATTTGATTGAAAGGAGCGTGAAACAGATAATGGCCATTTTTCGGCTTGTTGACCTGCTCTGCTGAAGGACTGGGTTTCGCTATTACTTATTGATAGGTTTTAGTGAGAGACCAGGTGAAGGCAGGGTGGTATGGAACGGAGGAAGGTGGTCGTTGGTTGGAATGCTCCTGGACATCACAAAACCCATCCTTGTATAATTTACGGGGTGCCAACAGAAATTCGGATGTCTCCGCTCCGCGAAAATTCTTTAGCGGTGCTTTTGAATAAAAAACGGAATGAATGATCATGAGATCAAGCTCGCAAATGAAAACCACCGGTAACATATACATATACATACCTATGTTATAGTTGAATGTTATATTTTCTGTCGTGTTCAGACTCGTCCAGGAATTAAGACCAGATATAATCTTCGTTCAATCTAATAAAAAAAAGAAAAATATTCAAACTGCTTTAAAAAAAAGTTACCACAAAAAAATTATATGTTAAATATAAATCAAGCAACTTTTTTGACATTCCCCACCTTTTAAAATTCATCTGGAATAGCTAATTTAAGAGGATAATGGTAACGTGAATCAGTAGAATGAAAGATGAAGGGATTAGTTTTTTCGAGTTTGATTTTCTCCAAAGGGAAATCGGTTAACACCAAATCCAAGATATTACCCGATCCATTCTCAAATGTATTTAATAAGCCTATAAAAATTTGTATAATCTATTACATATAAGTCTATTATTCCTAAATTACCTATATAAACAAAAAATTAAATTGAATTTTCAAAGAAATAATTCTTCAATCAATTCTAACAATCTCATTCAAATGGGATTTAATCGGCAGTAGGATTTTTAGATTTGCTTTTATAAAAAGTATGCAGCCATTTTGTTGTGATTGTATTTAAACATTTTAGTCTAATTTGACAGTTCTCTGTCAGTGTGATAAACATTTTTATCTCATTGGAAAAATATACATTTAGGTAATATTTATTTTGTTAAATTTACATAAGATTTGCAACTAATTTTGAATGAAATATATTTCAATTGTTAAATAGATGATCCTGATGATGGGCATTGCCCGAAATATATCGATCAATTAGCAACTAAGTGCATTTTTATTCATAAACGGGTGTATGGAGGCAAAACAATACCAAACAGCATGAAATAACATTACCCGGCAATACAACAACAAAAATAAATAATTCTTACTTGTAATAAATCCAAACTGTTTTGAAATTGAGAGATCCCTTCTCCTATCCCTTTAGAGTAATTGGGTTTCGTCTCGTAAGCGATACCGTCGTAATAACTCATACCACAATTGAAATCACCAACGATTATACGCTTCTCAGGAGGATATTCATCGATTTTCGCTTTCATTTTATTTAGTATTTTTCTATTTTCAGCAGTACGTACACGTGGTCCAATATAGATTAATCCAAACAAAATCCATTTGTCGTTCTTTTTAATCTCCATGAAAATTATGTCGTATTGATCATCAACATAAACTTGGCGGTATTCGATTTCTTTCTTCAGAAAAATTACAGAACCTTTACTGTTTTCGAGGTTGAAATTAGTAGACAGCATATTATAGCTTTTCAATTTACTTTCCAACCCTTTGACTTCGTGCTCGTTAGATTTCCCGAATTCGGTCAGACCGATCAAATCATCTCCATTTGTATCTTTTTCTAAATATTGATCTAAACTTCCGACCAACTCTTTAGAATATTGATTTACGTTTTCAATATGGAGCTTCATTTTTCTAAAAATCAATATTTTATCGTCTTAAAAATCGTTTATTCTACGAAAAATTACTATAAAGTTGTTCTGAATCTGTAACACTCCAAGGTTTTGATGACTTTTAGAAAAAATAACATTTATAATATTACCACTGTCATATAACGCTGTCAAAATAAACTGTCAAACTGAACTGTCAAACTGAACTGTCAAACCGAACTATCAAACTGGACTATTAAATTGAACTGCTTTTTATATAAGAAAGTAAATAGAATCTGTAGGTCCGTGTTTTACTCACATTTAGTCCAATTGTACAAACCTAAAAGAATTTGTAGACTACGAACGGCCCAATCCGTTTTTCTACGTTTGAAGAATATAAAAACATCATTATTTAGTAAAAGATCGAACATTACGAAATGCTTCAGTCACCGCATTGCGAATACTTTTATTCAGATCAATCAAAAATGAAATTGATATACGAATGATATCTACTTTCCACATCGTCTGTTTTTTTTCTGTTTTAGAGATAGGAAAGCCATGGCTCACAAACTACACATAAATAAATATGCCGTAATGGCTTGACTGAAGTTGGCGTATTGATCTTCACTGTCTTGATCCATTTCATATATCACGTTTTTTGTGCTTAATTTGTAAACAAAATTGAGTGTTTTGAAAACCTTGTTCCAAAGCAACTGACAGAAGTAAGGTGTTGATATAACTTACACAACAATGAGCTCGATTTCGAGATGCTTCAAGCCACCTTTGTCAATGTTTTCGGCATCATTCACATCCATGGTGAATGTTGTGAAGAGCAGAATTTTCTTTGTGGTCTTTTTGAGACTGTGGACAAAAGCCAGATTTATTTTACAAAGTTAATTTCAACTGCACACACGGAAGAAAGGTTTAGATATTCGCTACGCCCAATTTTTTTTCCTTGAAAAAAAAAACAAAATTTGAGATTTCTCAGACAAAATTTATTCTTCGAACCTCCATAATGTATGTAAAATGGAGGCGCCGAAATAAATTTTGTCTGAGAAATCTCAAATTTTGGTTTTTTTCAAGGAAAAAAAATTGGGCGTAGCGAATATCTAAACCTTTCTTCCGTGTGTGTGTCGTTCACAATGATCGAATCATCATTGGTGTCAACGAAATTGCCAAAAAATAATTAAAACACATGTTTCTTCGTTCAAGTGATGATTTATTCTTTGTCAAAAATTGGGTGGATATAGAGCCATAGTAGGTCACTGTACGAGGGTTTTCTATGCCATAAATCATTTGACGGCCTGAGAAGAAAAAAATTTCCTACAAAACCTGTGCGCAGAACACAAACACAGAAAATTTTTAGTCAAAAGGCGAACAGCGAATTTGCGAGCGCAAAACCCTAATGTATTTACAGCGAGCGCAAAAGCATAACAGGCCTACTTATACGAAGTTTGCATGCTAGTAGGCTTGTTATACTTTTGCGCTCGCTGTAAATATATTAGGTTTTTGCGCTCGCAAATTCGCTGTTCGCCTTTTGACTAAAAAATTTCTGTGTTTGTGTTCTGCGCACAGGTTTTGTAGGAAAGGTTCTTCTTCTCAGGCCGTCATTTCCAATTCAATTGAATATAATTTATGATAAATGTGATTTTGTATCAATCTTCCAATGGATCGATAGTTTTATGAAGAAATTTCGATTTTAGACCAAATTTGTAGGAAAACCGGTGTTTAAGTGTTGAGGGACCCATATTTTTTTGACGAAAAAATGGTAGTTGTTGAAGACAAAAACATCGTAAAAGGCCATTTTCAACCATTTTTCCAACATCACTGACAAAAAATTTGAAAAACATTTTTTTTTCCCTACTGAATCCACCATCTTACCAAAACGAAGTATGAGTTTAATATCGGCTCGCCAGCAACTAAAATCTGACCTTCATGCGTTGAACCGTACTATTCACTCCTTTAATTTCCGACTTTTTGACATTTGGAATAAATGCTGAAAAACAAGCACAATTCTGCCAACCAAAAAACGTTTATAATAATTACACAACATTCAACGACACATTTTGGCCTGTTTATACACATACACATGCACGCCTCACTTTTAGCATCGCGCGTCGATTGTGTGCACATAAATGGAGAGCATAGACGGTGAATTTGTTGAAACAATACACACATACCGCACACCGTTAGACGAAAGGCAAAAGAGAGCAAGAACATCAATGTGCTACTGAATGCATATAAGAAAGTGAGACATGAAGAGAACAGCGTTTTGTTTCAAATCGTTTATGTACAAAAAGGTATGTAGATTGTTGTCGCATCTAATGAAAATGATGATTATTATTCATTTCTCAATGGAGAATGTCATCAATATTCTTTCAGAAAAGCGAATGAAAGAAAGATGGAATAATGTGGACGCATGATGAAGTGGAATTGGAAGTTGGTGAAAGAGAATGAGTACCACAGTGTACCCTGTACCTACTTTAACGCTTGACAAACTTGTCGATTGATTCGATGGTGGCTGGTGGTAGACACAACGACGAAGAAAAAAATCGTACGAAATTTTTCCGTCTAAATAATTTATGCGCTTCACTTATTATGCCCAACCGCAATGGTCGATCCCAACAACAATGGGATCCATAGCGTAACACACTCTACCTTTTGTAATATAATCTAACGCTCTGCTTCTCTTTCGCTCTCACACATACTCTCTCTCACTCTCTATTTTCTATATTTGCTCTTGACTAAAACTCCCTATTCAACAGCGGAAAAAGAATCTCAATGGTCGTGACATAACATCGGCTGGGTTATTTGTAAAGACTAGTATTCAAAATACCCACTTGCGAAACGAGAGAAAAAATTACAGCCACCACACCATCACCTCATTTAAATTCTCTCTCTCTCTCTCTCTCGCTCGCAATGCTCATCGTACTTGGGCTAGTGGCAGAAATCCGAACAACACGAAAACTGAAACGAGCACACATACTGCGAAGCGAACAAGCGATAAGAGTGAGATCTCATCAGCGTTTTTTCCTTTGCATTGTGGAATCAAGTGAGACATTGAAAATAAAACATATTCTGTTCTCAATCGACCCCCAGAAAAATGTATATGATGACGACGACGACGACGATAACGGCGTTAGAGCTACGTGCTTGTTCTCGATCAAATAAGCCCTTTAAAATAATACTAATCGCTGAGCGAAGAGAAATGAGAAGAGTGCAAACAAAAAAATGTTCAACACAAAAACACATTGAATCTCTCTCTCACTCTCTCTGTTTATGAGCGAAAATTCCGTTTCGGCATTACATAGTTAGACGATTTTTACATAGCAATACGCGTTTTCGCCAAACAACATAAATACTCGCTAACTAACCCCAGATTTTTCAATTTTTGTCTGTGTGCGCATACACAATTTTTAATGATTTTTGTTGTTGTTGTTGTCGTGTGTTCTCGTCTCTCATTCCGTTGGCACGTTGTATATTTGCCTGCTTTGCTGATTTAAATACGTGCCATTCAATGAGAGAAATATTGTGTGTGTCTGTGTGTGAGAGCGTGTACGCTGTACGGAGAATTCAATTTTTATTTAGATGAAGAAAAATAACTCGTACCCAAAGTTTTTCGGTGCGTGTTTAAATTTTATTCGATACAAAGCGAGAGCGAGTGGGAGAGAGAGAGAGCGAGAGAGAGAGAGAGAGAACAGGCGAAAACTGCGAACGGTGGCGTATTTAATGTGCTGCTTCGATTCACATGGTACCGGCGGTGCGGCAATCAGAAACACACAGAATGAGAGTATATGTAGTGTACTTTGCTATTAAAAATGTCGATCGATATAATCACGTTCGGCGAATGTTTCCAAAAATTAAACAAGACGAGAAAAACGAAGAGATGAAGTGGAAAAAGACGAAGAAAACTTCCGAAGGGAGGCAAAGAAAGAGAGAGCGCTCGAAAGAAAAGGAAGAAAAAGTGGAAAAAAGCATTTTCAATCTACGTCTTGTTCTCATTCGTGGCGCGCTTCGAAATATCTTGCTTCCGTTGTCGCGGCTGCTTCAAACTAACTGTATTATTAATACGCGGGCTGTGTGTAGTATCTACACATGCTCGGCGCTCATTTTTCTATTTTTCTTTTCACTTTTTCGCCGCTTAATTCGCGCACATCCTGCAGAGGCAGCAGCAGTAGCAGCAGCGACAACAACAATAACGCGAACAACGATGGAAAAGCAATATAATGTAGCATTTAGTGAATTCCACCTCCACCGATCTCCTCATTCCAAACGCCGATTTTTGAACTAATCATTGCAAACATTCAACGACACGCACACACATACACATAGTTGCTACAGCAAAAGAAAAAAGACTCCCGACTCAGTGGTAAGAAAAGTTTTTCGCTCTTCTTCAAAACTTCTTTAAAAAATTATGTCGCTTTCGGTCCTCGCTCACTGTTTGGCCTATTGTACGGCTGGTTCTTGGATTGAGCGAGCGCAACTGGAAGAGAGAATATGAAAGGAGGGCGAGAGAGAAGGCGCACAAGAGAACGGTACATACATTATACATTTTTCATAAAAATGCTGTATGCGCGCTTATCATCATTACAGCCGTCATCATCGTCATTGTCTCCAGCAGCAGCAGCAGCAGCAGCAGCAGCAGCAGCAGGAGTAGCAGTAGAACCAGCAGTGGTATACCTTGAATTCGAGACATCCACCGAAAAAAACCCATACATTCAAATCCATTAAACACTACACACATTCATTTTACAAATAAAAATCATCGTCGAATCCAAGGTTTTGCTCTCTTTTTTTCGCTCATCGTCTCTTCGCTTCTGTTTCTAGCCGCCATGCTTCCCGTGAGAGAGAGAACCCACATTACGATCCATCATTAGAACACATCGGTTGTAAAGTAAAATTCATCGAATG